TACAGGCCTGAGCAGCAACCACATCTCAGAGCTTAGTGAGGACGCCTTCAGAAACCTGCCTTTCCTCCACACTTTGCTGTTGGACCACAACCTCCTGACCAGCCAGGCTCTGGAGGGTGGAGCGCTGATCAATCTCAGCCAGCTGGAAGTTCTTGCGCTGGGCCACAATCACATCAACATGGTGCGTGTCTTCACGGGGCAAATCAAATATTTTATTTCAAGGCGACTGAACGCAAAGGCCGCCTTCTCGTTGGCTTTAGCGACACGTTGCAGGGCTAAATCATCAAGGCAGTAACGTGCTCCTCTTGCTGGTGTGCAGATCCAGGCTGGTTGGTTTACAGGCACAAAGGCTCTGCTCAGCCTGAAGCTGGAGGGAAACCTGGTCACCAGGCTGAACCCTGGATCCTTTCCTCTGAACGACTTCAGGAGCCTGGAGACTCTGGATCTTTCGGATAATTTGATAGATTTTCTGGACAGAAACAGGTAATGCGATTTTTTTTATATATATATATATTAAAATTCACCCAGGTTATACCATCTTATATGCCCACCGTATCGTGCTTTTAGCTTCCGAGGTCTGGTTAGCTTGAGGAGCCTGGATCTCTCCAGAAACCGTCTGAGTTCAGTTCCTCCAGAGGCTTTCTCCTACCTTGTGTGGCTGTCGAACCTGAACCTGGACCTCAATTCGTGGAACTGCACATGCGAGCTGCTGGAGCTGGCTGCCGTCCTGACGAGCTTCATCCAGGAGCCGGACAAGGTACGCATGTGCGACGTCGTCGTGCAAACTCGTTACCTGTGACAGTAAAGATCTCAGAGCACAGGTTTCTTGAGAACTAACACCCGTACGTCCCGTTGTCCTCAGGCGCTGTACAATGGCCGTCGGATGATGTGTGTGAGTGCGGACAACCCGGCTGTGACCACGGTGCTGGAGCTGACTGAAGCCAACTGCGTGCCGTCCAATCAGAACATCACGGTGCAGATAGAGGCGAGAGGCAGCGTGGCGCCTCAGCAGTACGCTCGAGACCTGGCCATAGCTGCAGTCATCTGCTTCCTAGGTCAGAATATTAATCGGTGCCGGGAAGAAAAGCTGGTTTCCCCCCATTGGTTCTCATGCTGTGGTACAACTCCCACTGCTGGTACTTAGACTAACCTCTTTTGCGGTACTCTCACATGTTTGAAACCTCTCAGAAAAGTGATGCTGGCACAAACTGTAGCACATTCTAGATTTCTAGAATTGTGCCACTCATGGTGGTGTTCACGTTTTGGATAATTACTCCCTCTGGATTTGGATGCTGTTCGTCTGAAAGGGATTTTCTTCCAATTATTATTATTATTATTATTATTATTATTATTATTATTTATTTATTTTTACCAAATTGCAGAGAGAGGAGGAGGAAGTTCAAACCATCTCTTTTTTTGATATTATTATGGGCAAGAGTCATATCCCCAATTTCAGCGTCTCTTTTTCCCGGCTTTCAAACTTTACGGCCAGACAGAAATTTAAAAAATATTGTCAATACATACCGGACGGGTAAACAATTTTGAACTGTGAGAGGAAGACAAAATCAACCCATTCCCGGAGAAAACATGCAAACTCCCCACAGAAAAACCGAGGACATTCTGAGTATCGATCAATGATGATTTCCTCTTGTTTAAAAAATAGCTGGCCTGGTTCTTGGAAAGTGTTGTATCTACTAAGGCAGTCCTTGCTGTAAACAAATTTGAGCTATGGTGTAAAATAATCAAAGACATAGTTGTCAGTGTCATACAGAGTAAAACATCACATGCTCTAACAAATCTAACGCCCCGCTCCCCTCAAATTGTGGTTGTAAATTTTTATTGTTTCCTGTTGTGTTTCTCCGCAGGAGGAGTCGCTTTGACCCTGCTTGCAGTCTTGATCTGTTACCACGTCTCTCAACAGAAGAAGAAGAAGAAGAAAGAGAGCCAAAGACTGAAGGAGGAACGGGACAAAGACAGAACAACTGCTAACCATGTAAATCAACTCGGAGATCAGGAGAGGACGAGGGATTTTTTCTTGCAAGCCAACAGCAGTCAACAATGGAGCAAAGAGTCCATGACGCTGGACGAAAGGATGGATATGTTTAAGTCCAGAGCTGAAGAAAATGGTAGCAATGTCCATTGCCCTCATTGCAACACTAATGGGAAGATGCCGAACCAAATGAGAAAGGGTAAGTGGGCAAATGGAGGACCTGAGGCTGAAGATGTCCAGGAGAGAAGGAAATTGAGGATGATGGTGGAAGAGGAGAGAAGGAGAGGAGTTATTCAACAACAGAATTACAGCTGGAATGTCTCTAACAAGGTTCCTCCCCACATCGCCAACTCATCTTTTCATCTGCTGAGAGAAACGTCAGACAATGTTCCACCCTACAAGGCTGACGGTGACATGGGCAACCACTGGACTGATGATGAATCAAAGAGCAGAAGTTATGAGGAAGAAAGAAATTGCCACAGGACCTCCAGACCTCCAGAGGAGAACTTGACACACAGGACGCCTCACTCCAACCAAATGGACGTATCTGATTTCAATGGCAAGGTAAGGAGGGAGCCGTTTAGAAAGATGAACACAGAGGTAAAAAGAGAGGCAAAAAATGTAAAGTTTGATCTGACAAGTTCAAGAACTAATCGAGGCAAGGAAAGTCTGGAGGAGGAGGGGGAGGCAATTCCCAGAGGCAACGAGAAAAACAGGAGACACAGAGTCCAGTCCAGCCATTTGATGAAGGTCAAATTGAACTTAAACCCCTTAAAAAAAAGCAAAGTCCATCCGAGGAAGAAAAATGAGCATGGTCACACCAAGAACACAAGCTCCAAGACGAGTAAAGAGAAAAGACGGCATGGAAAAGGCGAAGAGGAGGAAGGAGAAGAGAAATCTGGCAAGAGATCTAAGAGTAGCAGAGAGAAGAAGAGAAAGTCCTCCAAAACGGAGGAGGCAGATGAAGGAGAGCATAAAAGCAGCACATCTAAAAGAGATAAAAGTGCAGAAGGTGACCAAGAAAAGAACCAAAACATCTCCCAGCCGCCTGACGGCACCACCGTCTCTGCACAAAACCTCCAGACTCTCCAGTACCAGACTGCGGGACTGGCATTGGGTGGGGCTCAGCTGGCTTTCCAGCATCCCTTCTCCTTCGGTCCAGCTGACAGGAATTGTACTACCAACCTTTCCTTGCTGAACTCGCCTGGCTCACAGCTAACTGGAAGCACCCTGTCTCTTCAAGCAGGGAAGGCTTTGCTCAACACCATGTCCTCAGGATCCTATCCACTGCTCACCGGTGGTCTGGCTAATCCCATTGCTCCTGGCGTAACACTCAGTGGGTTTAACGTAGCTCCAGAAAGCTTCGCTGGACAACCTGCAGTATCGACCAGGTCCTCAAATCCTGCTCTTCTGGCCAAAATTATACAAGCCAATCCTTTACAAGCAGGTGGAAACCCCACAGCTCCACTTCTTACCTCTACATCTGATGGTCTTGTCTTGAGTTTAGCAAACCCAGCTAATAATCCAGCTGCATTGGGTCACAGCCAGACGCAGGTCGACGGTTCTGCATCTGCAGCGGCGCCGAAGCTTGATCTAACTCACAGTCAAGACATTCAGAGCGGACAGGGACAGATTCAATCGACCACTGAGTCACAAGCCCCCTCTACTAAAGACAACCTCCCTGAACAGGATCAAGACGAGACGTCGGGGGAAACCTCAGAAACGAGAGTGGAGAAAATGTCTGTCAATATGCCTCCTGAGGGTGTGGCTCAAACTGAAGGACCTCAGGTAGGAGGATCAGGAGAATGTCTGAAGGCAGACAATACGTCTGTAATGGATCAATCAGCTCCTAGTCTGTCCATACCAGGTGAATCCTCCCCAGCTGCTGGAGGGGCGGCCCTCTTGCAGCAGGAGTACCTGTCAGAAGAAGGAGGCTCCTCACCGAGCCGGAGGAAGCTGAGGCTGGTTCTTCCAGAAAAAACATCAAACCGGCCGCCTACAGCTCTAGAGAGGAAAATCCTCTAGCAGCTCAGATCATTGGTTCCTTTTTAAATTCGGGTGTGTAAAGATCTGAGTAAAAAAAAAAAACAGTGAATGGAGGAAGTGCAGTTGATATTGATGAACTGTCCAAAAATATCCAATTGGTGTTGGTGGTGGGGGGAAGAGAAACCAAACCTGTGTAAGACAGTTGCACTTGTTGAGACAGTTTGAGATCCTAAAGTGTATGTGCTAAACGCACAAAATGTTGGCCTGTGAGCGGAAGGGATGAGACCGAAACAGCTATGGATGATTGGCCGGCACGGCTTGTCCGGCTGCTGCGTGATCTACCTGCAGGGACGGGGTTACGTCCAAAACCTGCTCCAGTTGCTTCTTATTACTTCTGTTCCTTCAAAATGGCTTCCACTGTCAACAAGCAGCAACCTTTGCATTAAAGCAGAGGTTACAACTGTATGTTGATGATTCACGTTTTATTAGTTGTTTTGTTTACATTTTTTATGTTTTCAGTACTCTTCTTCAGCACCGTCTGATAGGCCACACGTATTGTCCATCTTCTTGAATCTTTAAGTCTTATATAAGTCTTAAGTTTTATAACCTGCCTCTACATTAAAGCCATTTCTTTTTGAATCCCAAATCACTGCTCATAAACGGAGAAGGTAATGCTGCGGCATACGGGTGCAGTAAGGTTATGTACAAATATCCAGCTGCAGTCAGATAAAGGTATTGCCAACCGCTCGGCGATAAACAACATGAAACATGTTTTGAAGTAACGACTGCACATCGGTGCAGCATCGACTTTATTCTCAAACACATTATTAGAATCTAAAAATAAGAAAATCTTCATGGTTGATGCCCAGAGTCCTTTCATCTGCCAAAATAAAACACATGAATACAAATAGATACAGAGCAACAGAGAGATGCCTCTTTCCATTATCCTCAACACAAAAACAAACCTCAGTTTAATAAAAAAAAAAAAAACATGAAAACACAGCCAACCCGGCAATAGTTACAGTTTTTTGTTGTTTTTTTTTTAAATAGTCTCTGAGCACAGAGAAATAGAGATGATAAAAGAGACCATGCAAACCAGTCAGCCACTCTGCGGTCTTATTAACACCTCACACACTCACACTTGCTTGGATCCAAATCCGTATTATCGACAGACATATGCCAGGAGGAAAAGCTGGCTTCATACAAAGGAGTACTTCTTTTATCAACAGGAAATGTTTAACATTTTATCATCTCAGGGACTAAAATATTTCAGATTTCTTCAAGAGAACAATGAAAATCCTTTCATCTTAGACATTTATTCACATTTAGAGCCTGGCAGGGGGGAGGGTTCTTCTGTTTATCTTTAAAAAAGCAACATAAACTGGGGTTTTAATCAATGTCTTCCCTTTTCAGAGTCACCCAAACCTGTGGGAGTTCATCATTTAAGCAAAGAGTCAGAGGAGGGAAACACAACCGGAGTAATATTTGGTTTATATTGTTACGTTTTTAATGCTGTGCTTCTTTTGGCTTTGACCGCAAAGAAAACACAGCAACTTTCAGCTCAAAGGAAAAAAAAGAAAAAAGAAAAAAACAAAGGCTGGCTTTAAATTTTTCCTTTTAACCAATTATGTTACAGCAATTTACACATGACCTACTACAGAACCTCCTGGCGCTGATTATAATCACCGTCCTCAGTAGAAACAAGAAACTAGGTATGAAAAACTTCTGCGAAGACAGAAAATATTCAAATGTTGGGGGGTATGTACACCAGTCCGCGTGGTTCACAGCACAGGATCTACCCACCTCTTTCCACTCACTCTTATTTTCAGCAGAAATGGGAACAATTACGCAGTGAGTGATACAGCCATTAACAGACGCTTATGCCACATTGTAAACACTGCTATACTTTAAAGAGATAGTAGTAATATATACAAACTCATTCGGTTTTTCTTCTTCTTGGGGTTTTGTTTTGTTTTTGTTTTTTTCTTTTAAGTGCTGAATTCAAGTTTTAGTTCACACTTTGATGACAAGTCCACTGCGAGTCCGTTTCGTGTTTGGAGATTTGATTGGGCGTTAAGTGAGAACCAGGCCCGACTCAGTGCTGGAGTTCCCGTTGTGGCAGTATAAGGGTCCATATTTGGTGCCGTTTTGTCCCGAGATTAGCTCAGATACAGCGGTTTGTCTCTCTGAAGACTTCTGGAGGAAAACAAAGAGATCAGTCGTCAGCTAAGATTCGTCTTTCTAAAGAGAAGTGCTTGCTGGTCTTTTTAAAACGTGAAAATAAGCTTTAGAAATGAATGGACAAAAACTAATAAAATAATTTTGACAAAACTTTCTATTCAACTGCCTTCTTAAAAGGTTAACGTCGGTGAAAATGACAGAAGTGTAATTTTTTTTCTGCGTGTTTGAAGAAAAGAAGTTGGTTTCACCATGAGAGGAAAATGTGACAAAGACAAGTGGAAACATTGAACAAATGAAGCATGCAGGGTTCTGCTCTGAGGAGTGATAAGAAAACTGTAACCATTCTCAAACAACATATAACAAGCCAAAATCCCTTTTTTTTTTGCAGATCGTTCTCTTGAAAAATCTGTCAAATTTCACCCGAGCAGGGGTGTAGCTAGAAGGTGGGGTGTGGGTGCCCACTGAAGTTTGCTTTGGTTCCCTTTTTTCAATTGTAGAGCCATTTTCACTTTTGCCTTATTAGCTTTGATAAGTATTATTGGCTTGATAGTTGTAAATATTCAAAATGAAATTTGGACATCATAAAAGTTCAGGTTTGAAATGTGTTGTGATCCTGTGACAGGAGGTAACATTAAGCTTACACAACTCTATATAAAGACACAAAGAGGCCTTTTCAGTGTGTTTAAAACTGAGTACATTTATTTTATGCCTACTTATGCTAAACACAGTTTCATACTTGGGACTTTTACGTCTCCGAGGATGGAGAGACGTTAACCCGCGGCGAACTGTGGTGTTAATACCAACCCGTTGCCATGGTATTCAGTGCTCCAGTCCAAGGAAGGGTGGTGGTTTGGTGTGTGGCGGCCCAGCTGGTGGTAGTCCACTGATGGAGACATTACTGCTCCACTATTCAGCATCGCTCCGCCCATTGACTGGTAGTCAGACTGGAGTGAAGGATGGTAGCCCTGGAACGAAGCAGCAAAACAAAACAAGTTTTAGATGAGGTCATTACGTTTTTCTGCTCATGTAAAAGTAAACATATCCTCCACCACAGGATTACAATGGGAAACAAATTAAAGTGCATAGCATAAATATGCAATGCCATGCAGAAGTATTCGCACTTTTTGCACATTTTGTGATGTTACAACTGCAAATGCCAACATATTTCAACTGGGATATGATAATAATAATAACTAAGTGGAAGGGATACCGTTCATAAATGCAACTGTGAAAGGTTTGGTGTTCATTTGTATTCAGTCCATGTGAGTTACCAAGTCTTTCCAGTTCCAGCTCTTAAATTATTGGGTATGTATCTTCCAGCTTTGCACATCTGGAGTCTTAATTTTTTTCCTCATAATTGTGAAAAACTCAAATTGAGACTGGATGAAGAACATTAATTTTCAAGCTCTGCAACTGAGGGTTTCACAGAATAGTTGTAATATTAAAACTGAAGATGAATTACACACACGGACACTATTTGCATAGGTGACTTCTAAAGGTAATTTGTTTTCACCAGATTTTATCTAGTTGCATCAGAGTCAACAGAGCTAAACGCGAATGCATGCCATGCTTTTTATATTTTTTATATATTTTTTTGTGTCATTGAGCAGGTGTTCATCATCTTCTTCAGCCTGAATTAGTTCATAGATAGCTGAAGTTTTATATCAGCGGGTCTTCAAAACCTTCCGATTCAGAAAAGAGGCTTCTAGATGAACTGGGACGTAAACGTTTGCAACGTAAGCGAAGTGAAAAGGTTTCAAATCAATCACAGGTTCATCAGCGGCAATTAGTGAGGCTTGAGCGTCTTGCATCATATGTGAAGGAGGTGGGCGGAGTAAAATGGAGGATGAAAACACAGGAGGTGGAGCAGGAGACGGAGAAGGAGGTGAACATTTCTCCAACCTGAGGACACTCAGGAGAAACGGGGACTGAGAAACGAGGGTGCGCGACGACAACGTGCAGACGTGAGCGTTTGTGCAGGGAGGAGAAGAAGAGAGGGAGTGAAAGGGAAGTTAATCTGAGCGTTGTGAGTGAAAGAGGAGAAAGGGGAGGACAGCAGGTGGTTGAGTTCTCCCCCTGCTCCCGTCCCCCTCTCCTCCTCTACCTCACCTATTCATCTATTGTCGAGCAAATTCTTCTCCTTTACTCCTTCACAAAGACCCCATCTGCCTCCTTTGTCTCTCCCTCCCTCCCTCCCTTCCCCCATCAGCTCTCACTCTTCACCCAGAAAAAAACATTAAAAAAAATAGTTTGGAACTCGGTCACTGTCTCTTCTCGTTTTTCCCTGTGTTTTCTTCTTCTTTTTTTATGTACTCTTTTTCTAAAACCTAGGAGTGATGGGAGATTATGAGAATCAGGGATTTTAAAGAGAATGATAAAGTTGGTCCAACTGGAAGAAAGACTCAGTGTGTTTCAGTTCTCAATGTGACATACAGTAAGGTTATCTTCTTGAAACCGTCTTTATTAGGATGAAATATTTTGGATGAAATAATCACTGATAAGATATCGAAGAAACTGACTGACTTTCAAGAAAATAGGAAATGTTGATGTCTGAGAAAAAAATCAGATGAAGCGAAACCCAAACACTGCCACAATCATGTTTTTCTTTTCACTGGCAACACAAAACCGAAGCCAAAAAGAGAAAAATGCTAATTACCAACAATATTGGTGCTTCAAGGTCCCAATTACTCCAGACTAAGCTCACCCTACAGCCTCCATGACCTTTTAATTTGGCAAACCTGTAAAACTCCAAAGTCAAGGTAATAATTGTCCTTCTCCGCTCTTAATACTTACCAAATGGGTAAGATTTTCCAGATCTGTGTTCCTGGCAGTCCTACCACGACGCTACCTGCACTGCTTTATTATCTGAACTAAGATTTTTCTCACAATGGAAGGGTTGTCCACCTCCAACGACTGATAAGATATCGACTGAGGTAGTAAAACCAACGGGATGAAAAATCCAATGGCAATAGAACAAAATCCACAATCTGTGTTTTTTCGCCGACCACTTTGAGATGATATCACCAAACGATTGAACCTTGAAGTCGCTACTTTTACGCATTTTGTTGCTACTGTTGTAGAACTGTTTTATAAACCCTATGAGTCTCCTCCACCATCCTCGTCTAATCCCTAAATATGACGCCAGGCCTTCACTCTAAGAGGCTGATAAACACGTTTTCCATTTGAAGCATAGCCTGTTAAGCTCACATGTTCATTCGGTTAGCAAGTCTATGCAATTTGGAGGTGTGTGCCCTCTTTAAAAGTTGTGAGTACAGAGAAGTCAGAGTAGTAGCAGGATGAAAGACTTAGTTTCTTCAAGACGTCCTGCCAGTCCACTGAATGCATCATGAGGTTGTAGTCTTGTGCTGATGCCAGGGTGATTTCTCTGACTAAACAATGCAGATGTGTGTGTGGGGGGGGAGCAATGAGTTATGAATGATGCTACCAGGCTCCTCCACACAGCACCCAGGACCTGTCCATGTCACCATCAGAGCCCCATAACTAATGCGGAGCTCTACATTCTTGACTCATTGATCCATTTTCTTCCATTACTTCGATTCCTGTTTTCTTATTTATCTCCACAAAATGCAAATCAAAGCAACAATTTGCTTATTTTTCCTGTAAGGCAACAGCAGGACGCATCTCCAGCTTGGTCGCACCAGGACAAGGTTTTTTCAAACCAAAACTATTTGCAATTTTCAAGAGTTTTTCGACAGTAAAAATTTGCTAAGATGTTCGAGGAGAAATGTAACAAGACCTGACCCAGAAAAACAAAGTGTTCTCATTGCGGCTGCTGAGTAAAAATGCATCTGTGCCACCGTGTGCACACAGGGCTCCTCTTTAAAGGAATGCCCGTCTCAAAAAGTCTTAATTAAGCAACAATGATGGAAACAGAGAACGGTGATGGAAAGGAAGATGCTCAGAGTAACGATGCTTGCTTTGGTGGTGGCTCCAACACCCTCAGCTTTACTGCTACCAAATCGCCTTTTATGACTAACATCGAGGTTTTCTTTTCTCTAAGATTCACTGTTACGTCATTAACGGTTTCTGGATAGCTCTTTGATCTGACCCGCTAAAACCAAACCTGTATCTCTGACGATGACGATGCTACATGAAAAAAACGACAAAATGTCCTGCAGGTTTGTGATAAACGGTCCAGTCCAGTTCTAACCAAAAATTAGGCTATTTCAAGATTATCTTCATGAAAGTGTACTTCGTGTCACAAGCCTTTACCTGATTTCTATTAAATTTGTAAAAGTTCATCAAGTTACCCGCTTTTTATTTTTGTGCACTTACACAACATAAACAGTAGAAGTTTTTAGTTTTGATAAAAAAGACAAAAAAAAAGTATTTTTCAGTCGCAGATTATGGAACTGATCAAACTGAAATCGTCTCATTTCGATCTTTTACTAATTAATTGTTGCGCCTCTGTTTGAAAGCACATTGAATGCCTGGTCAAAGGGCAGGTTTTTATTGTGCGTTTTCACTTCTCGTTCTAGTTTTAATCATGACAGAAACTCGGCACTGGGTTAAATGGGTCATTGTGTGAATACGTCTAACACGTATGCAGAAAAATATTTCCACAGCATTTCGTTTTATTGGGTGTGCGAAGAAAACTCAGGTTTTAGTATCAGCGAGGCATTTAAAAGCAAAGTCAAATGAATCGCAGAGATGCAAGACAATATCTGGAAAAAAAAAGATCTATGACAGTTCTGTCTGTGAGAGAGAGCAAGACTTAGAGGGAGTAACAGAAAGGCAAAACATTTTGCAGAAAAAATTCCCCGAATTATCTTTTTTGTATTTCAACCACTGTGTGTCACGAGTCTTATTGGATTTGAAAAGGCATGATCTCTATTTAATTCATTTTTGATTTCCTCCAAAAATGACACGGTCATATGGCAGATTATCGCTTGAGCACTTTTCAGTTCTCGTTTTAGTTTTAGTCACAACAGAAACTCTGCATGGTGGTAAACGGGTCATGAAGGGATTAAGTTTAAGAAGTGCGGTGCACATAGAGGTCTCTACAGTATTCATGCAACGTTTTTAATTTCAGATATATCTCACTGTCAGCTAGTTTTTCCCCCAAACCTCATCAGCAATTCAAAAACGACATCTGCAGCTTTTGACCGATACTATTAACAAAAATAACAAGTGAAATTTAAATAACAGGACAATTGATTAAACAAAACGACAAAACGACATGTTCAGTGGGCCTGACCTGTGTGATTGCAGGGGAGTGTGTCATTCCCAGAGAGTGTCCGCCGAGATGCTGGTGCTGATGGTGCGGGCTGTGCAGGCCGCCCAGGTGCGCCTGACTATGGAGGGGGGGGCTGACCTGGAGAGGAGGGGTAGAAGCTGCTGCCACATTCCCCAGGGACAGGGCTCCCTGGTGGGGGACGCTGGCCCGCGGCACCGTCCCTCTGGAGGACAGAGCCTGAAGTTGGGTATGGATCTGGTGGTGGGGAGGGGGTATGTGCGGGCCGAGGCCGGGGCTGGAGGAGTGAGAGGGGTGTGAGGGGTGCGGGTATGACATGTACATGCCCGGGTGCTGGTGGGACGGGAGAGAGTGGGGGTGGGAGGAGATTGAGCTGGGGGAAGAGTGCGGACCTGGGTGGCCGGGATACACTGAGGGTTTGGGTGTGAACATTGAGGTAGGTGAGGGGGAGGAGTTGGAGGCAGAGTGAGGGGCTTTCATCTCGGAGGGGTCGCTGTAACTCTGCAGGAAACAAAACAGAAAGATTTATGTCACACTTGAACAGGTAAGCATGGGTCTGTGGGCTACACAAAACGTGCTCATTACATTTGTCACACAATCATTCTTAGGTAATGAGATTTTAGTTGGCTTATTTTGAGCTCCTATCAGAGTGAACTATTTTAAGGCTCTATCACTTTAAATCCAAATGAGCTGCTGCTGGCCGCACCCTCCTCAACTCAACGTTTCCTCTCACACATGAAAATGTCTGCAAACAAATGCACAATTATACAACTGTCCATCTCTGAAAAGCAGAAGTGGAGCCTCCTGCACAACCGGAAAGAATGCAGCAAGTGGTTTCTGGATGGTAAGTGAACAACAAAACACTTCTCTTTTCCAGCAGCCATTGTACGGTGAATACAGTGGTAAAACCAGCTGACCAAACGTGCTGCAGCTCCATGAGTTGCTAGGTGAGAGGCTAGCCTCGGCTGGGGTTGCTAGGTAACGGTGCAGCGCTCGTCAGTTGTGACTCAACAGTCAAGAGGTTCTTGAAACGGCTCAGATGCATGAAAAACGAAATGGAGACTGGAAATCAGCCACAGATGTGAGTAAACGAATGGGTGTATTACCTGTGAGACGAGGCTGGCTCTGTAGGCAGCCAGCTGTTTCAGATATTCTTTCTTAGCCGTTTCTGTCCTCTTCTTGTACACCTGAAACACAAGCATCCACCAGAACAATGAGACCCAGTTCATCGCATTAACATCACAGACAGCTTTAACTGAGCTACAGCTGTACATATCAGAATTACAATTGGCTTCATTCGCCACAATAACATAATACTCTTGTTTAAACATCAAAGGGCTTATTTCGTTAAACTGACACGTTAATAACAGATTACTTTAATTATGCATTCCCAAAACACCCTCTGCAGTTCTTTGATTCTCGACGCTTTCAATTGAGCTGGCGTGTCACTTAGAGGAGCTTTGCCTGTGCAGCGATGACTGGCAGTCCCACTGGTACTGTTGTAGTTTATGTTTTTTTTTTTGTAAAACTGTTGATTCCTGTCACAAACATCGTGTCGCTGCTCATTTCCCACCTCACGCATTTATTTCCCTTTCATGGTTTGACTGAATAGGATAAACATGTTTTCTCTCACATTGATGCTGGCGGTTGTATAAGGCACAAATGCAGACACAAGAAAAGTATCAAGCAGCTTCAGAAACATTTGAGTAGCAGCGGTCCAACAGCATATGATGTTGGTAAGAAATCTTTCAAACAGGGACTGGGAATTACCAAAGTTCAAGTTGAAGTTCGACAATCTATCAACAATAGATATTAACGAACATTTACATGTAAACATATAAGATTACAGCCGCTAATCTGCATCTCTAGTCCCACAGGGAGGTTGATGTTAAAACACAATAATCTATGTTTTCTGCTAAAACATAGATTATTGTTTGTATTTTGACGGTTTTATATCTTATCTTAAACTTCCATATCTAATGTTAGGTTATATTCATTTAAGACAAGAGCTGAATGTCAACTGGTGCATTCACAATTTGTTATAAAACAGTACAATGATAACTTGAATTTAGAAAGTCCAGATAGAATATAAACATTTCAGAGTAAGTAAACGGAAGAAAAAAAGTATTCTGATTAAAATTGTATTGTTAATTATTATTGCAGTGGCTATCCAATTCAATTCAAAAATGCTTTTTCCCAAAAAGGAAATTAAATATTGTTCTTACTCAAATTCTTCAAAGAGTTACTGTAGATGTCGGTGGCTGTTGGCAAGAAAGATCTCCCGTAGCAGTCTGTGTTACAGCGAATTTGAAGGAGCCTCTGACTGAAGCTATTATACCCGACTGGAGCGGAAATTAAAGGCAGGCTAACAGAGTTAAAGCCATCAAAAACAAAAAAAGTAATTAAAGAATAATGATGTAATAATAAATACATCAATTTCAAGAAAAATCTGAAAACACTGAAGCTTGTTTTACTTTGATGTGTAAGTGATTCCAGTTCTTTGCTAGGTGGTTTAGTCCAGCTCTACCTGTTTCTGCTCCTCTCCCAGGCCGTCCCACATGGAGGCCACGATCTTTGACACCTCTCCGAAGGTGGCGTTGGGGTTCTGAGCCTTGATGTTGGCCTGGGTGTCCCTGAAGAACAAGGCGTAGGCCGACACTGGCTTCACCGGCTCGTTGGGGTCCTTTCGCTTCTTCTTCTTTGGTGTTTTGGGTTTCTTCGAGATGTCCACTGCAGCAGGTCGCTTTTCCCCCTGCCGAGAAGAAACAGACTGACGGTTATCAGGTGTCCGGACAAGAGGGCAGAAATTCAACAGAAAATAGAATAACGAAATTAAAGTTAAACAAGAATGTAACAAAATAATTAATATGCTTTTTGTTCTGTTAGCATGACCTTTCCTGTGACCTCTGCTGTACCAGTTTGATGCTATTAGTCAGCAGTGATGATGAATCAAGGGGAAAATCCCGTCTAGTCAGCAGAAGTGCTCAAGCAATTCACATTGGGTACAATTTTATTCCCTCTTGATCAGCGAACATTTCCATGATATCACAGCTAAAGTGTCATGTCAGCAACAAATAGACTGCACTTAATCTCAGAAACACTTTATTAGCATAAAGAACGCTTTACAGACCCAATAAATATCATTTTTCTAAAGTTGGAATCAGAAAATCTAAAGCCCTGCATAATTATTGTTCCTAGGTTGTTATTTTGTTGCCATTTTGCATTCCATAATTTTGTATAACATAACATAACATAACATAACATAACATAACATAACATAACATAACATAACATTTTTATTCCTTTTTTCCTTTTACTTTTTTTTCTCTCCAGGGTCTCTGGGAGTATCAGTAACATTTTTGACTTTTTTGGGGGGTTAAAATTGAAACCTACATTAGTTTAAAAATAAAAAAAACCCCTAAAACTAATGACGTGATGATAGCTTTTGCAACTTAAACATAACTTTGTCAACCGAGACGGGAGTGTTTTGCTGCTGGCATGTGTATTGATTTCGTTTGCAACAAATCAATGTCCTTCTACATTATAGGGAGATCTACAGTTTCCCATGAGGAAGAAGCTACTAGTGGAAAACGTCACCGGAGGGTTTTGATTATAAACGCCTAAACACAGAGGAAGCCAGCTTCAGCTGCAGAAATCCTGCAGGTTTGCAGAGAACGCTGGACGTAGGTTTGTAGTTTTGCCACAGCGTTGAAATTATCGCAACTGCTTAGCCAAAACTGGAAATAATGGAAAGAACGAATGTTGCCAGAGCACTTCTGTAAAAAACATGAAGGAATTTATTGCAATGTCTGATACCTTAAGACTGAAACCCGGTTCTTACATTATTCAACTCTGTATGAATACTCCCCAGTTTCATTTAGTCTAGTTTTGTAACTCATCACACTCTGTTTCACCCTTAAATTTAAGGCGTTTCTGTCACTGCCACATCTTTCATTTCCCCATAAACCAAAAGCTTAATACTGTCGTTAATTAACTACGTCCTCGGCACAAATCATCATTGCAACACCAAACTTTCTGACAGAGCGCCATTGTGTAGCTGGTTGATAAAACAGATAAAAACAGGCTGTGTTTATCTTCTCTTGTTAATTAGCCAAACAGGCCATTTTAAAGTTCACACCAGAATAGCTTAAGCTTCTGAAAAGTGGCAAAAGCACAAGGGACACATTTTTCAATATTTAATAAACGGTGGTTAGATTTTATGTGACGGAATAAGCCTTTTGTTAATGAATTCATACAAAATGGTTCAAAATCCACAACTTTTAATATCCCCAGGAAATAATTGTGACTGACTCCATGAACTGGTTCATCTATTATTTCAAGAAGCTGTTAGGAAATCACAAGCAACACTTATCTCATCTTTTTTCTTTAAACATTAAAAATGAGTGCATGCAAGGTGTGATGATATGGTAAGAATGATGCTTCTGTTTGGAGCCTGACTTACGAGTTTCAACAGCTCGCAAAACACTTGGTAGTTTGTTATACAAGAACTTCGGCTTTTATTGGATCGAGGTTACGTTACTCGTATAGAGTTACCTTTTACGACATGGTATTAGTGTCAGAGTGCAGTGACACTGTGGCTTTTCCTCTGAGTGGCACGGAAAGGTTCACTAGTTGCAACACTTCACCATAAACTGCAGCTTTAAAATGAAGAGGGAAAGACTTGATGTGGCTGGAGTTCACCTTCACTTTAAGTCTGCATGCATTTTTTAAAAACATACATATAGAGTAAAGAACCTTGAAGGGACTGGAAAGAACCCCGAAATACTCTGTGGGTTAAGCAAATTATCCTTAAGTTCATTGGTAAATTAATAGATTGGAATTAGAGATGCAGAGAGAAGCTAGCTGTTTATCAGAGTTTGTTTGTTAATGTTTGTTGTCGTGTCAGTAAACACACCTAACTAAGCCCTAATATTTGACTGAACAACAACACTCAGTGGTGAAGACGTTGTTACGGCTACAAGGACAAAGTTTCCTGTTTTCAGGTCCCTAAAAGTGAAGTTTGAGGAAGAATCTAAAACGACACTTTCCCTGCTGCAGCAGTTTTCAAACCCCTCTTGTGAAATTATTTGGATTTTGACATTTTTGGAAGTCTCATAGGTGAGATGAGAATCTACTTGCTCTAATAAGCCAGAGGTGTCAAACTCATTTTCATTTGGGCCATAGCAAGATCACGAATATCCTCAAAGGGCTAGCTGTGGCAGAA